AAAAACCCAAAATTATTCAGGTTTGATCCAGCCTGACCTGATCCTAAAAGGATCCAAACAGAGGCAATTATGATCTAATTATAATATAATTATAATCTAATTATAATATCATTATAATATGATTATAATATAATTATAATCTAATTATAATCTAATTATAGTCTGATTATAATCTGATTATAATCTAATTAAAATCTAATTCCCACACTGGATCCAGGTGCAATTGCCAGACTAACAGTGCTCAGATTTTTATTTTTTTTTTAATTTATTTTATTTTTCCTCAGTCAGGATTGAAATTTTTTAGGTTAAAAAAAAAAAAAAATTAAAAAAATTCTGTTTTTCCCCTTCACAGGACCAAAGAATTAATCTCGAATTAAAAAAAAATCATTAATTAATATACACTTTATTATTATTATTATTATTATTATTATTATTATTATTATTATTAACGCAGAAATTATTAAAAGGCAAATGAGTAATTATAATTATTCGTAACGAGGTTTAAAATAAAATAATAAAATTAAATTAAATTAAATTTAAAAATGAAATGAAATGAAATTTTAAAAAATTAAAAAATAAAATGAAATAAAATGAAATAAAATAAAATACAAAAAATAAAATGAAATAAAATAAAACGAAATAAAATTAAAAAATAAAATAAAATGAAATAAAATGAAATAAAATGAAATAAAATAAAATAATGAAATGAAATTTTAAAAAAATTAAAAAATAAAATGAAATAAAATGAAATGAAATGAGATTAAATAAAATAAAAATAAAAAATGAAATAAAATGAAATAAAATAATAAAATGAAATAAAATAAAATAAAATTAAATTAAAAAGTTAAAAAATGAAATGAAATAAAATTAAAAAACTTTTAAAATAAAATGAAATAAAATAAAATACAAAAAATAAAATGAAATAAAATAAAATGAAATAAAGTGAAATAAAATGAAATAAAATGGAATAAAATGAAATAAAAAATTAAAAAAAAATAAAATAAAATGAAATAAAACAAAAAAAATTAAAATGAAATAAAAAATGAAATGAAATAAAATGAAATGAAATAAAATATAAAATACAATAAAATAATAAAATAAAATAAAAAAGGAAATGAAATGAAATGAAAATAAAATAAAGTAAAATAAAATGAAATTTTAAAAATTAAATTAAATTAAATTAAATTAAATTAAATTTAAAAACTAAAAATAAAATTAAATGAAATAAAATTTAAAAAA